TTTTTTTCTTTCTTTTTTTTTTTATTCTGGGCCAGCTTTAGCTCTGAGGTTCCAGCTCTTAGGCCTCCGCTCCTGAAAGCAGGTATCTGGTTTGTTTCGGTTCTAATTGAAACTCTGTATCAACTCCAGCTCTGAGATCCCAGCTCCCTGAAAGCTGGTTTCTGGGGTTTTGTTTAGCTCTATATTTGTTACAATGTTTGAAACTGCAGTCTCAGAAGCCTGCACCTGCAGGCGGGGAACGTTGGTTTCCTCTGTCACTGAGGCAAGCAAGCCTCATGTTAGTTTCAAGCTGCCTGGCTGCCGGCCGCCATCTTGGCTGACAGTTAATTTGCATATCTCACTGATTAGCCAATGGGAAGGGTAGCGGTTGTACGCCAATTACCATGTTTCTCTTTTATTAGTGTAGATATAGGATGTTCCTATTTCCCCCCTTTTGCCCTCTCTACCAGCTCTTGCCCCCCACTTCTCTTTGGCCATCACCATACTGTTGTCTGTGTCCATGGGTTGATTGAACCCTTGTAAATTTTAGCACAATAAATTATGCTAGAAGCAATTAGGAGATTTTTCATGTAATGCAGATACATTTCAATTAATATTTTATTAATTTTTAATTATTTTAATTTGAAATAATCTCATACATGTAAAAAACTAAAAAATACTACAGTTAATCTTCACCCAAGGATATTTTTCCATTGAATTTTAGAGAGAGTGAAGGGAAAGGGAGAGACACATTGATTGGTTGCCTCCTGCACATGCTCTGATAGGGACTGAGGATCAAACCAGCAACTGAAGTACATGCCCTTGACTGGAATTGAACCTGGGACCCTTCAGTCCACGGGCTAATGCTCTATCCACTGAGCAAAACAGGCTGCAGCTTAATTCATTTACTTTTAATCTATATGTGTTTTTATATTTAAAGTGGGTTTTGTTTTTGATTCACCCTCATAATCTGTCTTTTAATTGGTGCATTTATGCCACTGACTTTCAGAGTGCTTACTGATAGAGTTACTGCCATATCAGGTGGCTTCTGGGGCTTCTGGGGCCCGCCTGGGACCCGGGATTGGATCCATCACGGGCAGCAGGCAGGCAGCTTCTGGGGTCGCACATGGGAGCCTGGATGGCGGCTGGCACTCACGCTGTCCCGCCCTGCCTGCAGTATGCAAGTTAGCCGCCATCTTTGTTGGTGGTGAATTTGCATATCATGCTGATTAGCCAATGGGAGGCGTAGTGAAGGTATGGTCAATTACCATGTTTGTCTATTATTAGATAGGATTAGAAAACTTAAAAGGACTCATTTATTTTGGAAATCACATATGAAGACGGTTTCAATTTGTTTAAATACTTTATTTGAAGAACAGTTACAGTTTATTAGTCATAAAAATCATCAAAATCATCCGTGGATGTGCTATGGTCTCTAGGACGTAAAGCAGCTTCAATTTCTGAGTTAGTGTCATCAGACTCACCCCAGAAGGCTGGAAGAGAAAAGAAGACAGCTATTTAACATCTTGGTACCTTGATTAGCCTGGTTTAATTAGCTGGACTGGTTAATTGGAGCACTGGTCTGCAAAAGGCCTCCTAGGGACACCATGTGATGTACCTGACCAGATACACCTGGAATGCATGTCTGTACTGCACAAATTTACATATTTTACAGTGTGTTCTATGTATTGTTATGGAAAACACTTTACAGAATACTTTCTTTTCCCTTCTGTGTGTCCAACTCTTTACTGTAGGATTGGGATTTAAAATCAGGATTAACACAGAAGCAGGATGACCTGGGTATTTTATTAGGTCTGATACCACCTCACTGAGCTGCCTCTCCACCTTGATCTCCCTCTGTTCTTCACTCTTGTGAAGCAGAGAGGAGAAGAGAAGAGGTAGCTTACCCTGGCACAAAGGTCTGGGTACACATGGTTTATTTTGGAGGTAATCCTGAGAATGATGGGGGTTAGGAGAACTGGGAGAGAGACACAGGGAAGAGAGAAAGCCACAGGGGCCGTTAATGAGAAAGGCTGGTGGCAGTGGTCCTACAGGGGATCCTCTGAGAGACTGCAGAACTCTCCTTAAATTGTCCAAAGAATAAGGAAGTGAGATAATTTATCCACCAACTTCCATGTCTCCTTGTGTGAGGGTTGTTCTCAACCAGGGCATCTACTCCCTGGCACTCTGGGCTGCCCTGTGAGAAAGGAGCTTTATCTACTCCTGTGGTCAGATAAAGCCCTCAGGTGGAGATCCACAGCTGCCTGATGTAGAAGGCCAAGGACATGCCAGTGAACTGTTGAGGTGACCCCCACAGTGATCATTCAGGATGTGGTGGGGATATTGTCTGCTACACTGACAATCTCCATGACTATCAGTATCTACATGGCATGACCTGTCAGCTCTGTGATGCCTTCTAATATATGACTCCAATAATCCTTCTACCAACCTGGTAAGGTAAGTATTAATATCTCTGTTTTACTGGTCAAATTGAGGCTGTAACTGGCTAAATCATCATCAGTGGCTGGTCAAAGCCCAGAGACTCACTTAGGTCGCCTGACTCAAATCCATGTTCTCAATTATAACCCACTAGAAATGGGTTTAAGGAGACAGGAGTAGATAGAGACCAAGCTCAAAAGGGAATACCCTAGAATGCTATGTGAAAGGAAGGTTAGACTCTCCTTGTAAGCTTGGTGTTAAAAGTTGAATAGGAGCTTGTAGGCTGAGGAAAAGAAAAAGGAACATTACAGAGAAGGAATAACATGAGCAAAGGCACACAGCATAAGGCTGTGATTAGACTCAATGAGGATGAGACTCTTGGAAGAGCTGAGCTGGAGAGTAGGGATGGGGCCAGACAAAAGAGCTGTAGATGGTGGGAAGGCATTGGCAATTCTTAATCAGGAAGGTAAGAGGGTTAAATGAGGTTGTAGATGCTGGTGGGCAGGTGTAGGACAGTCAGGAGTTGGGAAGAGGTAGGATGTTAAAAAACCAGTTTGAGTCTCCTGCAAGAGCCCTTCATGTCTAGAGAAGTGGGTACTTGCAGGGCACTGGCAGTGAGGATGGACAGAGGCAAAAACATTTCACAGGTAGAACACAGTGCTGGTAGTCAATTATATGGGGAGGTCAGGACTCCCTGCATCTTCATACTTGCAAATTAAAATGCTTTGCTTCTCACCTACGGCACCCATGTGCTCTCACGTCATAGCCCTGTCACTGAAGCCCCCCAATCCCCTCACAGACATCCCCCCAGGGAGAGTTAGCTGCAAGGACTGCCCTTGTGATCACAGGTGTGCTTCATGGCCCTTACACCAGAAAACAAATACACGTCACAAACAGGTCTTTTGGTCAGAACAGAAAATGGCAATCTGGTCTCGTTACTTATCTTACCTTTAGACTTTAAGTTGGTAGTTAGTTTCTTTTTGTTTTCATGACTGTAAAATAAAGGAATAACCTGAGTTCTAAAGAAAAAGATAACCAGACTAATATTTTCACAAAAAGCACCTTAGGGAAGAAGCACATGTTATTCACTGAAAGGCCAGAAAATTTACATTTACTCCCCAACTTTTAAAGCAAAAAGAAAATGTCAGGCCTGCTGTGGCCAGAGGTGTTGGCTGATGCTTTGGTGGGAGGGTCCCTATTACAACAGCATCGCTGCTGCCCCTGAGTGTTGGGTCTGCAGCAGCTGAGTCAGATTCCCCCCCCTCCCCCGCCCCCCGTGTGCCAAGGGGCACTGCACACTGTGCTGTTTCGGAGAATGAATGCATAAGCAGTGAGACAGAGGACCGATTTCCCCTCAACAGTCTCTGGAAAAAACTAGTGTGTAAAGCATTAGCACTTGTAGACAAACTAAAGGAGAAATACCTGAAGTAGGGAGTTCAAGATGGTGGGATACAAGAAGTTGATGAGGAAGTTAAAATACTTATCTTCATCAAGCCAATACTTAACGTTTTAACAAAGGAGTTAAAAATAAACTCTCACTTTCCTTAAACATGTTCACATGTGGCAGAAAAAAATACAAGTATCCTAGAAATCCATGTTTAAGTCTCTGTGTATCACATGCATAAAAATGCAAGTGTCTAATGTATCTAATATCTAGCAGTTTGTTTGCTAGAGCCAATCAAACAAGAAACTGGCTCTATGGGATATGATGCCCATATCAGTGCTCCTTTTCAAGAGCTTTTGCAATTTTAATGAATTTACAAGTCTCCTGTGGGAGCATCATTCAATTTTTAAATTATATTTAAATTCTCTAATGTTCAGCCCCACAACCAAATCAAAATTACAACTAACCCACAGAACAACCATCATTAAGAACCACCTAAAATATAGCGGAACTGAAGTCCTCAACTAGGGATTTAAAGAAGAAGCTACATGAGATAGATAGGAGGGGCAGAAACATGGAACAGGCTGGTCCCACTCCCACGTATGGCGGTTTAAAATCAGGAGGGATATTTCAGCTGTGGAAGTCCCCCCTGAGGTGCTAGGAGTCCCGCCCTACACCAGGCCTCCCAGCCCAGGGTTCCAGAGCCAGGAAGAGAAGTCCCCATAACTTCTGGCTATAAAAACCAATGGGGAGTGTGGCTGAGGGAGATAGAGGCTGCTGGAGTCCAAGGCAGTTCCTCTTAAAGGGCCCCTGCATGGACTTACTCAGACTCACTCCTTCTGAGCTCTAGCACTGGGACAGCAGCTTGAAAGGAATCAGGGGCATACAGAGAGGCTCTGAATTGTCTGGTAGCAGGGGTAAGGAACATCCAGCCCATGGGCCATATAAAGCCCATGAAATCATTTGTCTGGTCCTGACAAGGCATTAGGGGCGAGTTAATTAAATGTTTGACCAAATGTAGCAGGCTAATTTTTAGGCTGATAATTTTATATGGCCCTTGAATGATGTTAAAAATATCCAAATGGCCCTTGGCAGAAAAAAGGTTCCTCATCCTTGCCTAGGTCCTGCCAGGTTACTTCCTATTACTTTCCAAAATTCTCGCTCTTTGCCTATGCATTGCCACCCTCTGGTCAACAAAACCAGCATCTCTTGCCTGGATCTTTTTTCTTTTTTTGAATCCTCACCTGAGGATATGTTTTTGTTACTGAATCTAGAGATTGATTCTGGAAAGCAGAAGGCAAAAAATAATCCAGAGAAAAAAATCCCAATGAGTATGCCAGCAAATCTATAATTACTAATTTTAAGTGTCAGAGGCAGACCAAAGTCTGAGACATTCTAATTCAACAAAGTCTGAGCGCCCCCTGATGGTTAACCAGGAGCCCTGCAGCAGACGCTGCTTTTTAGCTGCCTGGGGTCAACTTGTTAACTCCTTCCATTTGGCTAATCAAGCCATTGTTCTTTTGTGCTCTGTGTAGAAAAGAGAGAAGTATACTAGTTTATGAGGAAAAGCATGTGGATTATTTAGGAAGCTGCTAATTCAGTAGAATTTAAGGAGAATGCAGATTTGCTAAGCCAGAGATGCAGAGGGGGGCTTTTATATGAGAACCTAAAGCGCAACCAGGAAAACCTCATTTTTATTTCTTTGTGATCTTCTTATCGCCCCAGGAGGAAATGGCATAGTGACCAGGCAAGAAGAGAGACACCACAGTCCCCAGAGCATCAGCCGTAGCCTGGCGCCCTCCCCTGGCCGCTCCCGTAGCTGCAGGGCTGGTACGGAATGCCACCCAAGGAGGCTCTGCGGGGGTGCCTGCGGTGGTTGGATGACCTCTGCTACCGTTCCCCCCAGCAATTAAGTTGTAAGCACACATCCTTTTCTTTTGGTAAAATGTTATCTCGATCCAACCAGTAAACTGAAGTTACCCGACAGGCTGTTAACATATACTCTCCACTGAACAAATGGATCCGGGAGGGTGAAAACGGCTTCCCGGGGAAGGTAGAGCAAGACAATGTTTGCAGAGAGGAAGCTCTGGCATGCACCCCGAACAAAAGGGAACAAGTGGTCTTTACGCGGAGAACAGCTTCCTATTAGGACTCACTCCTTCGTACATTATGCCTTTCATCCCCACTCAACCACAAAATGATTTTGCCGAAGCAAACACAATAGTAGAAAAAGATTTACACTGAAAGAATCTTTAATAATAAACTGTTGCCGATCTGCCTGCTTGCCTGTGATTTATAATACAATAAACATCGGATTCTATTACGGCTCATGCACTGAAGCTGCTGTTCTGAAAAATGGAATATGAAAGCACGCGGACCGCACCACCATCACAATGAAATGAGCATGTATAAATGTGCTAAGAGTATCTCTTTGCATCTTTTATAGCTTGTGTGTATTAATCTGTAACGCTTATTAAGAAAGCCATTGCTATGCAAAGCAGCACCCAATCCCTTTCTCTGGCTTTTCAACAGAGTGCACTGTTTAGCCAATAGGACGGACCCTCTGGCCCTCATTCTGCATTCATCGCAGGCAACATTTGCACAATGTATCTCTCAAAGGCGGCTGAAAAGAAGGCCTTAATACTCATGTAAACAACTGCAAACCAATTACTTAATGAATCAGGCCCACACATAATGAGGTGCAGACAAAGAGCTATAAATGTATTTTTGCGCCCAAGCCACTGCTTTAAAGTAAAATCCCTCGGCTGTAGTTTGGGCTTAACTAGCACATCATAATTATTGTCTCTAGGACATCAGAGGAAGCCATTTTTTTTTTTTTAGGTCCAGCGGGTTCTTTTTTTTGAGGTTGCTCATCAGCTCACTGACAAAATAGAGCAAAGAAGAATTTTTAAAAGTGCTACAGCAGCACTGCACTGTTATGTTTATTCTCAAGTACTGGTTTCGAGACCACTTGTAAAAGCAATAAAGCACGAGGAGTGACTGTAGTAAGTGGGATCTTTAAATGTAAGCCTCTAAGAAATTTCAGTGAATTCAGGCACAAACAGCAAAATCAGAGCTCTCCAAAGCCCAGGGTGGCGTATTAACAACAACTCACCCAGCACAAGAACAAAACCAGAAACATCCAACCCACGACTTGGCGCCCAGACCTTTTCCTCACTGGATTAGAAACAAGGCTTCCGTGCGGAATGTTTTTTTCTTAAAGGGGGTGATGTGATTACTTGTAATTTATTTAGGAAATTAATTTCATGCAGAAGAAACAGTAATAACAAAAGGTCCCTGACTCAAACTGAAAAAAAAAAAGATTGCTTTCTATAATGAAATAAAGGAGTAAGACATGAAATGATCAGGCTGAGAAAATGTTCTGCAGAATCTAACTGCTTTCTGAATGTATTTAAAAATTGCCTGAAGAATACATATAAAGTTTAAGAAGGATTGGGTTTTTAATGCCTCCAAATATAATAAAAACAAACACTTCTAACCATCTTTAAAAACTAAATGCTTGTATTATTATACCAAATTGTAACATTAAATGCTAAAAGCTACCTGTAGAATTTGTCTTTTAAAATTCCTTTTAGAAGACCTAAAACTTGTATTTATAGTATAATCATAAAAATATAATACTTTAATACACTTCCTGACCCAAATTCATCTTATACTTACATCAAAAACATGGATGAAAATCCAGGTATTTAAGATAATAATTTCTGATAACTACATGAGTAATTCCCTAAAATTAAACTTACCAGGTTTCTAAAAGCAGAATTCAATTTCAAAATATGATTCTTTTAAAAATATATTCCAGGTCCTAAAAATATTGTAATGTTTTTTAAAATATAAATGAAAACATTTTTTTCCCATTTTAAAAACACTATTATTCCTGGATCAAATCACTCTATCTTATGGGATACCAGAAATGTGAAGTTCCTGTTTTAAAATTTGGGCTAAGCAGTTAATTCAAATGTAATGCAATCATCCAAAGGACTTTTTAAATGAGAAATGTTACTATAAAAGGAAACTTGTAGTAACTTCTAAATGATATTCATCCCAAAGCAAAAAGGAAGGTACTTCATCAGACGCTTGCTTCTATTCCCATCTATAAATTCTTGCTAATTGACTCATGCCACTGCACGATTAGCATTTTATGTTGATGACAAATCCAGCACACAACTCACTTATCATTGCTTGAAAAACTTAAAGTGCTACAGTTAAAAAAAAAAAAAGTGAATAAATTTTGTTCTTTATGGAAAATAAGGAAGAAAAGATAGAAAAGGAAAGTATAATGTAGCCCAAATACTTAGTACAAAAGAGGAGTACAAAAACAAATAGCCAGCAATGCTGTATGTACATCAGCTGTCTCAGAAAGAAGAAACAGGCCACTTTATTTCCTTTAAGGTCTGATGTTTTCTCTGCCCCTGTCCATTGTGTGGTCTCTAAGCAGCCCTACTGCGAGCAGCTGTAGACGCTAATTTGTGGTTCACTGAGGTGTCAATTGAGTCTTAAACCACGGAAACAACAGCTGCAAAACAATACTTGGCTCTGGTGCAAACATTTTCAAAGGTAGACTGAAGTTTCAACTGTTATTTTAGATAAATACCAGAACCAGAACCTTCCATCAAGTCACACAACAAAATAACATGTAGCTGGAGTTTGATTCATTGCGCAGTGACATTTCTCTTCTTGTTGCCACCATTCAGAAAGGCTTTCACGACTTTACCTTGACAAAGGGCTTCTTTGGCTAGATGAAGAACTAGTTTCCGATGTGATTTTGTTAGTTGTCGTCTTCAATGTACCACCGCCAATGTTCAAACCTGTGACAAGCACCAACAGGAGAGGGAGCATTAGCCGCCACACAGCAACAGACACAACGTAGAAGGAAGGGGCCTCACAATAACTTTGGTAAAATGTCAACAGAGGAAGATGCTGCTCAAGCCACAGAAAGCAAGGCCGCTTTTGAGGCAAGAAATAACACATTGGTAGAATACTGAAAAGAAGTGTGTGTGTGGGGGGGGTGGGGGGTGGGGGGGCGGTTTCCCAGTGAAACACAGAAGCCACAAAAAGTGAATAAAATCATTCAAAGAACACCATTTTAAATGATCAAGATGCACGGGTAAGCACATGGATCCCCACTATGGCATCGAGCTCTGGATAATTCACATTGTTATAACACACAGGCACCAACTCAATGGGTGCAAGGAGCCAGGTCTCAGAAATAACAGACACTCCTGGAGATAGCTGCCCACACCACCCACCTTTTAAAGCGCCTCTGCCAAATCCTCTATTTTTCCATCTTGCAGAGGAGACTGAATCTCCACTGAAAACCGTCAAGGCCACTCTTTAACCAGCCTGAAAAGGTTGGCGGGGAAGATGCACAATGAACCTTTCCCCTGGAGTTGGGGAAACCCCATGATGCCCCCAATTTGCGGGGCAATTCCTGACCTGTGCCTCCTGGGAGTCATCAGCCTTGGACGTGTTTGTTACAAGTCTGATTCTTAACTGGCAGTTGCCCAAGATCACAGATAGAGAGTGCCAGGGCAGCTCAGCAAAAAGCTTTTGCTGACTTTCTACCCCATAATCTGCTTGCCTGCATAGAACCTCTGCAGCAGAGGGATTCTCTTGATAACGTGTCCATGTGCAGCCTGACAGGTCTGCAGGTGCTTACCAGGACCTGGTCATTTCAGATATGAAAACAAAGGCACCAGATTTAAGTGGCTTTCTTTAGAGACAGGTCCAGAGACAAAACACTAAGACATCTGGTGTAGAAAGTAATTAAAACATGCACTGCTTCTTCAATCGTTAGACTTGGGGGTGGCTCCTGAGTTGAGAGTGTACATGCCCATCACCACCTGGAACTGTGCTGGGAAGTTTAACATGGTACTTGGCTTCCATTTCCCTCTGCCCTCTGAGCCTACTTACTGCTTCCTTTTGGAGCTCACAGAAGTCCCCAGGATCAGAGTGGGAATGAGAAGGAAAAAGATGCATAACCAAAATGCAAAAGAAATACCAGAGGCAGTATCTAACTACAATGACTGCCAACACTATTGGAAGCACTAAGAAGATCCAAACGATGACAATTTAGAATGTTGCAAACACATAGTGTAATTTTAAGTGTAGAGTGAGAAAACTGAATTTAGGGATACTTGACTACAAGACCTATGTAGTATTATTTCACTTACGAATGAATTAACAAAATGTTTAATTATTAATACATTAATACTACTGTATTTGCCGGCGTATAAGACGATTTTTTGGCCCTGAAAAATATGCCTCCAAGTGGGGGGTCGTCTTATACGCCAGGTACACTTCAGATAGACTGCCCATAGTGCTTGCCCCGTGCCATAGTGGCCTCCCGATGCCCGCCCACTTCATTCCACATACCGTTCAGGCATCAGCAGCGCTGCTGGGTGTATGCTCGGCTGTTATGCGATTTTGCTGTTATGCGATTTTACCACACTCGCATACACCCAGTATGATAGCGCAAAATCGCGAATCGCGATACCATACTGGGTGTATGGTTGGCTGTGTGCGATTTTGCGAGTGTGGTAAATTCGGGTTACCGTACATTTCTTTACATATGCATTGAAGATTCGCGATTTTGCGCTATCATGGTGCCTGTTAGAATGTTGAAGAGCTCGCACTTGCGCTTGCTAGGGACTTGCCCGGCACTTGCTCTCTACCTCTATTTGTTATCTTACTTCTATCATTGACAGTCCCTCTAGGTTGTGGGCTGCTTGCCTGTGTTCCTGAGAAGCATCTACGGTACCAGTCTATAGAGTGTGTTTTCTTTAGTGAATTACCGGTATGTTTACCGGTAATAAACTTGCACTGTTTTATGTATATGTTTGATTACATACAGCCTTGTGACAGTTTTCCTGCATGTCATAAGCATTTGAATATAAATTAAAATGTTAAAATCAAACCTGATATTGTTTTACCTTTTATTTGGTGTGTGGAAGGTGTGCGGAAGAGGGGGTAGTCTTATACGGCGAGTATATAACAAACTCTGTATTTTGAGTGGAAATGTTAGGGGGTTGTCTTATACGCCCAGTCGTCTTATACGCCGGCAAATACGGTATAATTTTGATACACATCCAACAGACTACAACTTATATCATATTTACTTGTCCTTTGAATCTGTCCAATGAACTATCCAAAGTATACTTACCAATAACAAATCTGTGGAGTCACCTGTGTATGTCTGCTAACCAGCTTTAATGCTCAGAAAGAGACATTACTTTCTTGGGGCCTTGCTTATAAATGAGGGAGTTGAATAAGTTCCCCTAGGTTCTAATTCTGTGACTCAAATGTGAAGAAGGAGATAAAAAGCAAACATTTAAGGGCTCACAAGTGCTCTATCTCTCCAAAGTAATGAAGTCTTCTATTGTGGGTAGAGGCCCTCTTTTTACCTGAACAAACTACCATGTCTCATGTTCACAGAGTTCAAATCACCGCCACCACCACGACCACCACACGCCAGCCCTCCTGGAGGCTTTTCTCCAACAGGCACAGGGCTGGGTACTTAAGCTACAGTGGCTCACTGAATCCTCAAAACAACCAAAATAAATTTTGCAGCAACTGATTCTAACATTACAATTAACTAGGAAATAGCTTCAAAAACAAGTCTGATGTACCATTAAGTGTGTCTCTCAAAAAAAGTGTCTGTCTGGTGCACACATCTTTGAGACACTTAGGAAATCTGAATATGGACAGGAAATCATGTGATATTAATAAGTCATTTTTTGCCCTAGCCAATTTGGGTCAGTGGATAGAGCATTGGCCTGTAGACCAAAGGGCCCTGGATTCGATTCCGGTCAAGGGCACAGTCTGGGTGTGGGCTCAATCCCAGTCTGGGGCGTGCAGGAGGCAGCCGACTGATGATTTTTCCTCATCATTGATGTTTCTATCTCTCTCTCCCTCTCCTTTCCTCTCTGAAATCAATAAAAATATATTTAAAAAATCATTTTTTCATTCTGATAGATAAGAATAATGGTAGGGTGTCTTATGTAAAAGTAACATTAAAGTGTACTTCCTTCAGTATTAATCCATTTATTTTCACAGAGGGAACTGAGGTGACTTATACTAAAAAAAGACGTAATAAAATAAAAACCAGTGAAAATTATAAAAATACAATAAAATATTAAAAAACAGAGAAAATTACACTTAAAACAAATATCCTAGGATTGTCGAAATTACATTTAAGCTTAAAAACTAGTTTTTACTGGGATTTAGTCTTCTCGTCTAAAGAACCTCCAAATATCTCAACATTCAGGGTGGCCTAGGATGGTGCTCCCATCGATGGTTAGGAAATTGGAAGATGTGGGAAGAAAAGGAACTGGACGTGTCTCCTGTGGTACTTAGGGACACGTTGCTCTCATGTGCCTGCAGGCAGAATCCCAGGGTCTGTAAGCGCCATCACTGTGAGGGGCCAGAATGTATCCAGGAGGAAAGACTTTTCCAAACTCATGTTCATTAACAACTGGAAAGGTACTGGCTCATTCTGACAATGACAGTTTGTTACAAAGCAAATTCCAGAAACCGTCAAAGAATGACCACCCTTCCCTGAACCCAGCACTGGCCACCACCCTGTGCTGTCCTAGACACTGATTTCAAGGGCTGGGTCTGCCCTTGCTCACCTGGAAGCTGTGAGGCAGAAGCGTCCTTTTGGAGCCTGTCCTCAGTTTGATCTGCATTATCCTGAAGGGCAGACTGCTTCAGCCACTGGTAGACTTTTGTTTCTATAGATGACAAAAAAGGGCACAGAGATTTGGATATCTACATGCAGAAGAGAGATGGATCCTTACCTTATATCATATGGAAAAATCAACTCAAAAATGATTAAAGACTTAACTGTGAGACCTAAAACTATTAAACTCTTAGAGGAAAACATAGGATAAAAGCTTTAGGACAGTGGATTTGTCAGTGATTTCTTGGATGACCAAAGCACAGTCAACAAAATAAAACCGACTAATAGGACTACTACAAACTTAAAATTTTTGCATGTTAAAGGAGACAATCAACAGAGTGAAAAGGCAAGCTATGCAATGGGAGAAAATAATTGAAATAATATATTTGATAAGGGGTTAATATCCAGAACATATAAGGTACTTATATAATTTGATAACAACAAAAAAAATAAAGCACTTTATTAATACTTTTTAAATGCATGAAAACTGTTTCTGTACTGCCTCTTTTAGGTACTCTGAAAACAAACAAAAACCAATTTAGTTAAACACAGTTTTCAAGACTCAAAGACAAGTTGTGTGAGTTTATCTGAGATGGCCAAATGCTATTCATTATTCTGAGTGGGTCAACTCATGGTAAATGGTTTCTCTCCACTCCAGGCCTTGCAGAAGCCACTACAGAATGAACCAGAAGGAACAGCACGGATTCCTTGGTCCGTCCTTTGTCTACTTCGAAGCACTCCCTGCTCTGCCTCTCAGGCTCTCACATTTGAGTGCCGGGTTTCCAGGCTGGGTGAATGGCAGGAACATCAGGAAGAATAGTCATAGCAGGATGAGCTCAGAGACCCAGAGCTGAGAAAAATCTAACCAAGGTTGTTGTGGGGACAGAAAGGGCATACACAGGGAGCAAAGCGAGGTGTGCCAAAAGGGTCAGCAGCAGCCCAGACCTGGATCGGGTCCACAGGACAGACACCCTTAGCCCTGCAGGGCTTCTAATGGCATCCACTATAAGTTAAGGGAAGAAGGTTGTTGGGGAAAACAGTACATAAAGATCACATATGTGAAGGACCCAAGATACAACCTCACCCACTACCTCAAGTCTCAAGGATACCTGGATGGAAGGGAACACGGAGAATTAGTTTTAGCAAAGAAATAACAAAACAGCATCCTATGTAGAAACAAGGGAAGATGGGTTCAAGAACACAGATATTACAGACACACTGGACAGGGCAGGATTGTAAATGCAGACACTTGTGGGGGGCCAAGCAGGAACCACACATAAAAAGTGACTCTGGTCAGGTGAGAGCAGCGGGAGGGGTGAGCTTGTAGCAGGCTGGAGGGCCATGACCTGTCCACTGCGGAGAGCTATTCTCTGACTGCAGCCAATTGCTGCCAGCTGGGAAAGTGGGCCTCGTCTCGCCAGATTCTGCCTTGTAAATGAAAAAATAAAAACTGCACAGGCCGAACAGAACCTACTTGCAATATTGAAACTAGATGGTGAGCAATTTTTACTGTGCTACAAGAAAACTGTGAAAAACTTCAGCCAAGCTAATTTAGATGTTCAAAAAGCTCACTCCATTGAAAGAGTTGAGAGACCCCATAACATATTATCAAGGGAGGCTGCAACATTTATTCAGAGATTTCTAAGTAGCTGTCTGTCTCAAGTGGACCAGATTTGAGATTCTTTGGACACAAGTGTATGCTTTTTGCTAGGGGGGCTCAAACAATTCAGACATCCTCCAGGAATAGTCTAGAAGACTTGGCTAGGAGGCCAACTTCATAAAGCAACACGGCAAAGCTAGGATCTTAAGGTTTCTGGCAACTCAGGCTTTTGATAGTGAAGAATCAAGTGTTGAAAGCTGCAAATTCATAGTTATTAAGTGAATTAATGAACAAACAAGGGGCAAAAGTAACAAATCTAGAGGTTCAAGTTAGCATGCTATAAACAAGGTAGGGACAAGGTGTGCGTAATTCCAAGGGGAAAATACTTTAACTTCTCAACAGGCAAGTAAACTCTCAGTCTGTAAATTTGAGGACTGGGTGGCTCCTTAGAATTCCAGCGAAACACTTCCTCTTATTAGTAATGTCAAACTCTCAGTAAACTATTGAGTAGTGAAAAGTATTATATAAAACAACTATTTCTAAAGAATATAGTTCGTTCTTTTTCTCTTTCTTTTTTCTTTATTTTATTTAATTTTTTCCAATTACCATTTATCCCCTCTATGCCCTCTTCCACCTCCACCCGCCATCACCACACTATTGTCCATGTCCATGAGTTTTCGCTCTCTCTTTTTTTCTTTTTTGCTCAATCCCTCCACTCCCCTCAATACCCTTTCCCCACTAGGGCTGTCTGCCTGCTAAGTGAAATAAGCCAGTCAGAGAAAGACCAGTATTAAATTATTTCACTCACATGTGGAATTTAATGAACAAACTGAACTACCAAGCAAAATAAAGACAGACTCATAGACAGAGAGCAGACAGATAGAATACAGTTATTTTCAATTAGAATCTTCCAGTACACACAGAAACACACATGCTTGCATGTTCCAGCTTTAGGTTCTGGATTCTCAGTCAAGCAGCTATTATATATTCAAATCTGTGTCAAGATTTAGTTTAAAAAGTAAAAAAGATTGTCATTTAAAACAAAAAATAAGGCAAGGGTCCGGGGGGCTAAAATCTACCCTTGCCATTAATTCCAGACTGATAATGCAATTAGATAAAAATATTTTCCTACTTCCTTACATAAGCTAGCAGAACCCAATCAGCCATCTTCCTACAAAGTGGTAATGGATCTCTGAGACTGTTTTTTTTTTTTTTTTTAATATGCATTTTGTGTCTGGAGAATGGAAACAGCTAGAGAAACAAAGTGAAACACACTGCATAAAGGGAGGTAGGGGAGAGATGATGAGAAGAGAAGAAAGAAAAAGCCTCAACTTCTTATCTTTTATTCTCTTTTATATGCAAATGTACACCTGCTAAAATACTTCTAAATCTACAAATAAAAAGAAAAAGAAAATATCTGATGAACAAGTGCTTTTAACAACCTATTACAAGAGCCTGATAAGCATGTGGTTCATCAGCCTCTATGGGGTGTCTCTCAGGCAGAGAATCTGTCCTGGGCTTTTGCAGAAATGAAAAAAGAAGAGTTGGGTCTGGAAAAGGAATGACAAAGGGAGATGCAAACAGTACCATCACTATAGCTAGCAAAAACGACCTTGCACTGACAAAAAACTGGGCATCTCTGAATAAGGAAGGATAAGTGCCATTCCTATATGAAGTGTGTAGAATTTTAAAAATTAAATTTAAAAAATATTTTCTGTCCACTGAATTTCCAGCTGCTGTTACTTGTCATGTATCTCTACATCCATGCTTTAAAAAAAAAAACAAAACAATATACTAGATGTGTTGCTGATGCAGCAAACCCAGTTGTCTTTGCAAAATAAAACAAAAATTGTAGGATATATTTCTAAAATTAATTCTAAAGATAAATATTATCACTTAAAATCCAGAAACCACTTGTCTAGTAAACTGCTCAAATGAAATTGAGAAAATAGTAAGATATGGGTGCTTTCACAATTCTGAAAATACTTATCTATATTTAGGAATTTTTCAAAGGCCGTAAGTCTGCGTGAATGTGAGCAGCACAGGTTGGGTCCACTTTTCACATCCAGACTTCCCACTCCACCAGGAGTCCTGGGCCTGTGAAGCTGCTGCCCAGGCTTCTTTGTCCTCTCACAGAGAGGGCTGATGCACAGAGAAAATCCTAAACCATATGAGTGAGTTGTCTGAAGCTGCTTCAGAAAATAGATATATCATAATCTTAATTTCTATGGAACAATTAAACAATTACGGCTGAAAATAAATGTCAGGCTTATAACTGAACTTTAATGAATGTTCCAAAACTGAATTGAAACAATTTTGCTGGCATTGCTTCACATGTAAATTTATAGCCACAGTCTCTGACACTTAATTGTTCAATCCTGGGAGGTGAATTTTCAAGTTTCAAAGTCATAGAATCTTTGATTGAGTAATCTTTATCAGGAAGTTATAGTTTATTGGTACAACTAAATGATTTAAAAATATTTTTAGCAATTTGTACTCAATATACATAATGAGAAGAATCAGAAATAAAGATATTAATATTATCGATGTCATTACCTATAGTAGGGCCAGGAATAATCACTAATTAAGATGAACCAGATGTTAGGGATGTAAGATATGAAGACATCCCTCCTCAGCTCCTGTAGTGGAGGATGGAACAGTGTCTCCCCCCAAACTCCTATCCACCCACAGATGCCTGCCAAAAACTGAAACTAGACCACCTTCTTACACCATATACTAGCATAAACTCAAAATGGATTAAAGACTTAAATGTGAGACCGAAACGAAACCATAAAACTTTCAGAAGGATACATAGGTAGTAAACTCTCTGACACAGATCGTAGTAATATTTTTTTCTGATCTATCTCCTCGGGCAAGAGAAACAAAAGATAAACTAAACAAATGGAACTACATCAAGCTAAGAAAGTTTTTGCACAGCAGAGGAAACCATCAACAAAACAAAAAGACAGCCTACTCAATGGAAGAAGACATTCACCAGACACATCCTATAAGGGGTTAATATCCAAAATTTATACAGAACTCATACAATTCAACACCAAAAAACAAACAATCATTAAAAAATGGGCAGAGGACTGAATAGACATTTCTCCCAAGAGGACATACAGATAACCAATAGACATATGAAAAGATGCTCAACATCACTAATCATCAGAGAAATGCAAATTAAAACCTCCCACCTGTCAGAATGGCTATCATCAATCAATCAACAAACAAGTGGTGTGGAGAAAAGAGAACCCTCATTCATGGTTGATGGAATTGCAAATTGGTGCAGCCACTATGGCAAACAATATGGGAGAACCTTAAAAAATTAAAAATAGCCGAAACCGGTTTGGCTCAGTGGATAGAGCATCGGCCTCCGGACTGAAAGGTCCCAGGTTCGATTCCGGTCAAGGGCATGTACCTTGGTTGCGGGCACATCCCTAGTGGGAGAT